ACGAGCCAACAGAAGTACAACACACTTCCTTGAGGAGGAAGGGCAGCGAGGTTGGGGGCACAAGAGTCAATTTATTACCTATGTGGGGGAACTACAGACAAAGTGTGAGATGGACATGTCCAGGGCACGGCTGCTGTCACTTGGAGAGGACCAGGCAAGGGGAGAAGGACAGGGGCGCAGAGGAAGAGGATTGGGGTTTGGGGGGGGCACAGGGCAATAGGCAGAATGAGCTCTTCTGGGATCCCCTGGGGACTATTTGATTCTTTTCTGTTTTTTATTGAAACCCAGAATGTCTATTGATTTGCTTAAGGAAGACACGTTAATTTAAAAGAAAAATAAAATACGGGCCTCTCGTTGCTGATTCATTTACTGGAATAATTCTCAACCTAGGATGTCAGCATCATCCAGAGAGAGTGTTGGGGGTCACACGGTGGGGGAGGGGTGCTACTGGCCTCTGTCACCTGGTTGTGCACAGGGCTGAGGTCCTGAAGACCAAGGCATGAGTCAGGCCAAATGCCAGCAGCACCAAGCCAGGGCTTGTGTAACCACTGGAGGTCCTGTCTTCCCTGTCTCTGCACCCCTCTTCCCAGTGTGTATGCTTACCTCTTGGCCTCAGCACCCACATACTTTTTTTTTGTGAGTTGGATCCCTGGTACCGATAAAAGAGCACCCACATCTTTAAGATGGAGGTGGGACAGCCAGATGTGGTGGGACAGATCTGTCAACTCGGCACACAGGAGGCTGAGGCAGGAGTAATGCTACAAGTTTGAGACCAGCCTGAGTCAGACCTTGTCTCAAAAAACAGAAAGAAACGGGGCTGCTTAGAGAGCCCCTGCAGAGGAGGCCCCAGCTGGCCCTCCAGCTGCTCCTCCTGAAATGTTAAGCCCCACGGCTGTGGGCATTGCCTGGCCTCATACCCTGTTCTCTGGCAAAGCAGGGGGGATGAGCAGGTTTCCCATGAAGAATGGGTGGAGGCCTCTTTGCTGGGGGAGAGGGGATGCCTTTTCTCTGTCTCTAGTCTGGGTTGGGGGTGGGGGTAGGAGGAAGCTTCTCTGAACTCCTGTCCTGGGCGCCAGGGTGAAAGCCAAGGGCACTGAGCTGAAGAGACACCCAGGGGTCCCCAAATCTCCTGAGGACAGCACTGATGGACAGCAGGCAGACGATGGAGGCACAGGTCATCAGCCTGCCCAAAGGGCCCAGGCTCAGCAGTCCACCTACTGCTGGCCATGCGCCATGCGCCTTCCCCCAGCCCTACAAAGCTGCTGCCCTGTCCCTGCCACCTGCCTCTGTCCCCTGGCAGCTCAGGCCGATGACCATCGACTGCTTGCTCACCTGTGACCCAGGACACTGCCGCATGTGGACTCCCAGAGATGCAGAGGCTGGAGCTCCTAGCAGGGGCCCAGGGCTGTAAAGCTGCTGATGGCTTTGCATGACATCTGTGGGGGACACGGCTCTACCCGAAGCTGGCCCCTGGGCAGTGTGCAAAGACCCCGGCTCCAGTTGTCAGGTTTAACTGGAGGCAGCCTTGGTCCCCTGAATAACCAGGAACCACTGGGTTCAGGAGACAGGAAGTGTTTTGCCCAAGGTCACTGAGTGGCTTGGAGGTGGCCCTGAGATCCTCACCAAAAGGAACCAGCTGGCCCGGGTGCAGATTTCCCACCTTGGGTTGTTTACCCCTGGACACTCCTTGGCCAGTTCTAGAACTGAGAGAGCCCTTCTCCCCAAAGCTGCTGCCCGCTCGACCTCCCGCCTGGACGTGAGAGGTTCTCACAGCACTTTCCTCCCAGCCCGAGCCGGCAGCCTACTCCTGGGGGCACCGAACTCTCCCCTTTTTCTCCGCCAAGGTTGGGGTCCGGGCAGGGAAGGGGCACAAACCAAGTGATGTGTCAGTGAAACTCAAAATGCTAGCTCCCCTCATGCGTTTACCAGGATTTTATTTGGGAAGAGATCTTTGCCCTGCTTTGGGGCAAGAGGTAGGAAGACCCCGGGAAGTTGAGATTTCGCCCAGATTATGGGAAAGAGGCGCCTTCCCGGGGTCCTTTGGAAAAGGCCCTCCCCTCATTTCCGGCCACCACTGCCAGCCTTGGCCGGGCGCCTGGATCCTGTTGCTATGACGACAGGAAGAGGCGGTGGCGGCGGCGGCAAGCGATGCTGAAGAGATGGAGGCTAGTGGGGGTGGGGGTGGTGGCTCTGAAATGGGGGTGGGGAGAGATAGGGGGCTGGGGGTGCGGGCGGGGGAGGGGCGGGGGCTTCGATCTCCGACCTCCTTGGCGCCGTTGCGCCAGGCCCCGCTCCCCTCTGCTCCCCGGGCTTCCCGGCAGAGCTGCCTCGGTCCTCATGCCCGTCTCTCTCCGGGTCTCCGGGTCTCTCTCCCCCGCCTCGCCTCTCTCTCTCTGAGCGCCCTCTCCTTCCCCACCTGCCTTCCGTCTCTGCCGCCTTCTGCTCCCCAGGCCCCCTCCTCTAAATTTCCCTCATTCTCCTCTCCCCAGCCCTTGCCCCGTTCCCAGTTTAGCCCCCCCTCTGCCTGCCTGCCCCTCTCCCCCACCTCCCTCTCTGCTGTCTGTCTCCCCCATCTGTCTCTTCCCCGCCACTCTCCCCAGCTCCTTCCCTTCTGCTGCTCCCACCCTGACCCCCGGCCCCGGCTCCCCCCCGGGGTCCCTGGCTCTTTCCTCGGCTCTGGGCCCTTCTCTATCCGTGTGCTTCTCCAACTTCCTCCGGCTCCCGGCCTCTGCCTCCCCGGCCCTCCTCCCCTCCCCGGCTCCCAGCCCGGGTCCCTCTGGGCCTTCGGCTCTGCCTTCCCCGGCTCTCTCCTGCGCGCGGACCCTGCCCCCACCCTCCCTTCCCCCACCCGCTCCTCCGCGAGGCTCCCCCATCCGCGGCGCTCCCCTCCCCCTCTTCCCTCCCTCCCGTCCTCCCGCTCCGCACGCACTTTACCCAGCGACACCCGAACCAAATTGTCTCACCTTTTTTTTTCCTTCCCCAATCCGGACCCTCAGTCCCCAGGGGCCCAAGCTCGGAGCCACCCCCAGCTGCCCCTCCACTTCGACACCCCCCCTTGCTCTAACGCCTCCTCACCCGGCCGGACGCCTGGGTCCCTCGCTGCTGGGGGAGGGGGAGCAGCGAGAACCGGGAGCCCCGGGGTTTTTCTGGGGGGCGCCGGCAGGGGGGGCCGGACATCCCTCCCCAGTGCCTCGAAGAGCTGACCTGCCGCGGACAGAGGTGAGACAGAGCTTTGCACTCCTCGGAGGTGGGTGGCCGCGGAACTGAGGTGCGGTGACCCCCTGTTCTGGGGAGAGGATCCGGGGGTCGAGAGTGCTGACCCCTCTCCCGGGAGGTTTGTGGGGGTCCCCGGTCCTCTCTCCTGCACCGCCGCGGACTGAGGGAAGGACTCAATGAGAGTCTCTGAACCCCAGCGGCTTGTCCTCCAAATGGGCAAGACGCACAGCACCCCAAGTCCGCGCCGCACGAGGAGCAGGCCCTGTCCCTCCGCCCTTCCGCGGGCCCAGGTCGGGAGGGAGAAGGAGGCTCAGCCCGGGGTCATCGCTCACCTCGCCGAGGAGGCAGCAGCGGTGCGGGGGCCAAGCGGTGGAGGTGGCCGCGCATGGACACCGAAGCCAGCAGCTGGAAAGTCAGTGCGGGGCCGGGGAGGGAGGCCGTGGCCGTCCCGAGCGGGGCAGGCGGGGGCCACGCGGCCGGGCGCCAGGAGCCGGGGCCCAGGCAGGGGCTGTGCGCGTGGGCGGAGGAGGGGGCAGGGCGCGCGAGCGGGGCGCCGGGCCCGTTGCCATGGAGACTCCCCCCAGCCGACCTCTCTCAGCACCCCTCTCGGAGCAGCCCAGCCTGGGGCCAGCTGATGGGGGGCGGAGGACACCGAGAAGTGGGAGGCCAAGGTCACGCCGCTCCCGACCTGGGGCTGGGGCTTTCGGCTGTGCTGCCCCTGCTGTAAGGCTTCCGGTGCCTTCACCCTGGTAGGGCTTTTAGGAAGAAGTCTGGGAAAGTAGGGGACACAGGTGAGGGACCCGTGGCCAGCAAACCCACGTGAGGCGGACACGGTACTGGGGAGAGTGGGGTGCGACGTGGTGGCTACAGAGTGCAAGTCTTGGGGATCCAGTTGCTCTGAGCAGTCTGGAGGCTGAGGACCGCGTCAGTGTGGGCGCAGGTAGTGGCTGCCGAGGGGCCAGCGCGCGCAGGAGAAACATGCGGGTCGCTGGAAGGGGCGTTCCCGGCCAGGTACAGGGCCGGGGAGGGGTCTTTGGGAAGGGGCACCGCGGGGAGCTCCCACAGGGCGGGGGCGGGAGGGACCTTGGCGAGCTAAGGGAAGTTGGGAGAGGTGCGGTTCTTAGTGCCTGGAAGTGAGAGTTGGGTTCCCTGTAGGTTGGGGCGATTCAGAATCAGGGGACCCCTCTGTGATGCGGAGGATGAGGGGCTTGGAGGTCGGTGAGCGCACCAGTGGTCTCGGCCTGCTGGGCAGAGTGGGGGAGCTCAGGTCAGACTCGGGGACCCGCATTCGCAAGCAGAGAGAAGTTGGGGTCGGAGGAAGCGACTGCTGCGCTTGCTGCGCGCGGGGAGCCGCGAGCAGAGTAGGGAGAGAGAGGGTTGAGATGAGTTCTTTAGAGTTACGGACCGCAGGGTCTTGCGGGAGGCTCCTCTGTGCGCGTGGGGAGCTCTCTGGGGGGTCGGAGGCGCAGCAGGGGGCCCGTGGTCCTGGGGCCCAGCTGGGGGCGTCCCCGAAGGCCGCTTGGCGCAAGACCTGACCCGGGGTAAGGGGGCGGGCGGAGCTCGGCCACGCCCAGGCCTTGCGCGGGGCGCAGGATGGCTAGTGCGGGCGGAGGTGGATCGCGAGTCTGAGGGGTGCGCGCGGTCCCGAGAGGGGAGATGCGCGGCGAGCGCACTCTGCTCAGACTTGAGTTTCCGCGTTTCCAAGCCTGAGCAGACAGAGAGACGCGGGGTCGCCGGCTGGGCTTCTGCCCTTGGGCGGGGCCGGGTCAGCCGCAGCGAGGACCTGGGGCCCCCTGACCTGTCCGGCCTCTCCCGCAGCCCCACGCCATGGCCGCCCGCTGACCCCGCCGCCGCCGCTGCCGCTGCCGCCGCCTCCCAGCGCCGTCTGCCCGGCCTGGCCCGGCCCTCAATTCCGCCCGTGCCGTGCCCCCCCAGCCGCCGGCCTGGCCCCGCCGCCGCTTCCCCGGTGGTGGCCCGCGGCCCCCCGGCTGCCCGCAGTCAAGCTGGAGTCGCTGAAACGCTGGAACGAGGAACGGGGCCTGTGCTGCGAGAAGGGCGTGCAGGTGCTGCTGACCACGGTGGGCGCCTTCGCTGCCTTCGGCCTCATGACCATCGCCATCAGCACAGACTACTGGCTGTACACGCGCGCGCTGCTGTGCAACGCCACCAATCTCACGGCCGGCGACGACGGTGCCCCGCACCGTGGCCCTGGCGCCAGCGAGCGCAGGGATCCGGGTGGCCTTACGCACTCGGGGCTCTGGCGCATCTGCTGCCTGGAAGGTAGGGCTGTGCCCCTCCACCGACTGGCCCCTCCACCTCCCTCGCTTCTGGGCACCCAGCACCAGCACCCCTGCACCCTAAATGCTTGTGCCCTAGGTCTCACCTCTCTACCCCTTGGCCCTCACCTCCATAACACCTCATCCCCAGCACCCCCACTCTGGCCATGGAGGCTAGGCTGGCCTTGAACCTATAGCCCACTCTCCTACTATCTCCTGAGTGCTGGCTTAGAGGTGCTCACCACCACTCCCCCTTTTTTGAGAGAAGGCCTTGCTGGGTTGCCCATGTTGGCCTCTGCTTTGGGCTCCTGATTGGCTGGGACTCCAGGGCATCCTGGGCTCCCCATGTCTTCCCTTCTTCCCATTCTCTGTGTCCTGCGCTGGGCCAGGATGTGCTGCACCAGGTCTCCCGGGGCCCCATCCTCCAGCACCCCATCTCCTCATACCCCCACTTTTTCTCCCCCAGGCCTCTGGCCCCCCTCTCTGGCATTTTCCTCATTGTCTCCTGTCCCAGAGGCCCCTGAAGCTTCTCGCCTGTCTCCAGGAAAGCTGGGCTTCTCACCTCTGCCCCTCTCTTTTCCTTCCTCATGGGAACCTTTGTCTCCCCCTCTGAACCCTCATGTATCACCCTCCAGGTGTTCGGCCCCTCCTCCTGGTCCCTTCAGGTGGCTCTGCTCACCTCTCCTGTGCCCTCCTGGTTCTCCTTGGATGCCTCACACTCCACAGCCTCCTCTCTGCTTTATCTTCTCCATCTCTGTCCCCTCCTCTGTGTGCCAGGTCCCTCTGTCCCCAAGAGACTGTGCTCTTCCTCCCCAGCCTCATCTCCCTGCCCTCCAGGTGCCAGCGTTTGTTTCTTCACGCCCGGTGTAGGCTCTGAATGGACGGCCTGGCCCAGCCAGGGTTCAAGTCTCACTGCACATCTGTCCCTCATGGCACTGTGGTCTTCCCACCTTCCCGAGACTTGGGGCTCTGTTCCCAACATGGAAGAGAGCAGCCGGCAATCCCAGGGTGACCCTACCACCCCTCCAACTTCAGGATCAGAGGCCCTCGCTTTCCTCTTGCTTTTTCTCCCCACTTCTCTTCTGTTCTTTCTTCCAGTTTCCCTCTGCATGCACCAAGGGGCGACACCCTGACCTCATTCCAAGCCCCCTCCTAGTCCCCCAGCTATGAGAGGGGCACTTCACAGATGTGCTGTACTGCAGTGCCCAGCGCTGGGGGCTGATCCGAAACCTTGGCTGGCTGCTAATATTTAAAAACAGGGAGACTGCTTCCTACTGAAGGCCCGACTTCCGGCTTCTGAGCTCTGGAAGTCTGACAGCTTGGGACTGGACTCTGTGCTGACCACTGTGGCAGAGCTGACCAGCAGTTGCTTTTTCAGACCAGTGAGGTGTCCCCAAGTCCCAGTCACATCCAGGTTACCTCCCATCCCTCCCTCTTCTCTCAAGTTGTTACACTCTTGCTCCTGAGGGTGTGTGAGCCTTGTCCCTTCCCTGGTCTGACCATGCACCCAGGGGGTCTCATGTGGGGACTTGCGCCATGAGGCCCCGGGACAGTGCTTAGTAAGGAGTAAGAATACCACCTATCCAACCGCCCACCCATACACTCCCCACCCACCCATTCTTCCATTCATCCAACATCCATTTATTCATTCAACAACCAGTCTTTATGGGTTTTATACTATATTCCATGTTCTGTTCTTGATTCTGGAGCGGGTCGAGGAAACAGAAGACAAAAACTCTTGTCCTTAAACTCTCTGGTTCTGGAGGAAGAGAGAGTGGCCCTGGGAGTGTTTGGGAGCTGAGGGACCAGCCTCGAGGGTGCAGGAGCGTGGGTGTGTGTGTGAGATGTTCTAGGGGCTAGGGGCCAGGGGCTGCTTGCCATGCAGAGACGTGTGTGGAGGCCTGCAAGAGGCCAGGTGGAGGCTGTGGGTGTGGACAGTGCCTGGGGTACAGGAACAGCAGATGCTGAGGCCAGGGTGTGGGCACATGGCACCGTGTATGGCTGTGTGGGAGGCCAGATCTGTGGGAGCAGGGGCAGGGGAGCCACATCCTGGGGCCGGGCACTGTCAGGACCTGACCGGGTTGGCTGCGCAGGCTCCTGTGGGTCTTTGCTTGGGGGTGAAGTGGGAGCCACAGAAGGTTCTTGAACAGAAGTCAGTGCGAGATGACTTACCCTCTACCAGGATGAGGGCTGCTGCAGTGTTGAGCAGCGCCTGAGGGGAAGCAAAGGCGAAAAAGGAGGTGGGAGCGTTTTTTTATCCTTATTTATTGATATTTGGGGGGGGGGCTCAGGAATCGAACTCAGGACCTTGCACTTGCTTGGCAGGTACTTAAGCTGCTGAGCTATATCCCCAGCATGGCAAGAGTTGGAGTGCCCGGAGTATTGTGAGGGTCCCATGGGCAGCAGAGTCAGGGGGTCTCTGCTGACATTAGGGATGGAGTTCTGTGTGCCGTGGCCAGGCTCTGCACCATAGGACGTGGAGCAGCCTCACGGCCCTGTCCCCCAGATGCCAGCTACCCCTGCCCAGTTCTGGCAGCCAGAGTGTGTGCTGTCCCCAGGACAGACTCCCCGGGGCTCTGGACTGACCCCTGGTGGCAGGTGCCATTCAGCAGGTGCTGTTTTCTCTGCTTCATTTTCCCTCAGCCCCATCCTTAGGGAGGGACATTACGGGCTCTGCTGTGGGCATGTTGACTTTGTCCCTGTAGTTTTTTGAGGGTCTCACTCACTATGCAGCTCAGGCTGCCCTTGAACTCACTGTGTAGCCCAGGCTGGCCCCTAACTCAGGTCCATCCTCCTGCCTCCACCTCCTGAGTGCTGGGGTGAGAGGTGTGCACCACCACGCCTGGGGAGTCTAAGGTGTGCGTGCAATGGCCAGGGTGGGACAGGGTTGCTGGCTCAGGCGCTGTGGGGCACTGTGTCCTCATGTCTACCTGACAACAGCTGTAAGCTTGGCCTGGTCCCGGCTGAGCCTCATTTACGGTCACCGAAGTTTGAGTCTCACCTTGTCACCTGCTGTGAAGTCCCTTTCTTTGCTACTTTCCTCGACATTTAAAAAGTGTGAAGCCATACTAGGCTGGGTCCAGCCCATGGGCTGTAGTGTGCTGCCCCTCAGCTGGCTGTCGGCAGGGACACTGCAGCTGAGCCTCGGCATGTTACCAGAGGAAATCCCCTGTAGGAGACCGGGACAACCGGAAGGAGGCGCTGAGGTTAGGATGCCAGCAGGAGGAGCCAGCAGGAGGAGCCAGGTGGGGAGCTCTACTCGGGCAGGAGCGGCAAGTGGGTGTCCTGCAAGCTGAAGGAGGTTAGTGTGCCAGGAGGGGAACAGGAAGCTCCCCCGCCCAGCGCCGCCATCACTGGCTGTCACTCACCCGTCACCAGATCCTCCTGCCATCACCTCATCTCCTGGAAGGGAAAGCCAGGCTCCAAGAATGCAAGGCTGTCTTCTGTCTGCTGGGCGCTGGGCTTGGGGTTGGAGTCCAGGCCCATTTGGTCTCCTAGGAGAGGAAAGTGGCTGATCTGATGCCAGCCACCTGTGGTGGCTGTTGAGAGTAGAAACGGGAACCTTGGGCTGGCACCTGCTGGGCTTCCTGGCTCTGCCCTGCGTCCCTTAGAGCAGCAGTGTGTGACGCGGAGATGTCACGGAGACTTGAACTCTGCCGTGACACAGACGACACCCGCCTCCTGTGCACCATGGCCAGTAGCATGATCTTGGCCACAGGGTCAACCAGTTTGCTTTTAGTTTTTTGAGACAAGGTCTTGCTATGTAATTCAGGCTGGTACTAAACTCACAGCGATCCTCCTGCCTCAGCCTCTTGAGTGCTATTGGTTGACCTGTCTGTGCCTGTTTCCCCTCATGGAACCTTAGCTCCCCAAGTCAGGGTAGAGGTGGAAGAGATGAAGGGGTGAAGTATCATCCAGGCTGTGGGGCTTCTGCTGTGTCCTCCTGAGGAATTCAGGTGACTCAGCTCTGAGCCTTTTCTCCCTGGTGACTCAGAGGTTGCCACCACTAACCTTGCACTGCCTGCCAGAAACACAGTATGAGCTCCTTTAATTTTTCTGGACTGGAGATGGAGCCCAGGGGTGGACCCCTTGCCCAGCATGCAAAGCATGCAAGAGGCCCTGGGTTCCATTCCCATTACTGCAAAAATAAGATTTTCTGATAGCCATATTGAAGCACATACGAGGAAACAGGTGAGCCAGGTGCGGTGGCACACACCTGTCCTACCAGCTGTCAGGAGACCAAAGCAGAGGACTGCACAATATGTTCAATGCCAGCATGAACTGCACGGTGAGACCCCATCTCAGGACATCATAAAAAAGTAAAGAAAAGGTGAGCTGGGTATGGTGGAATGTACCTGTAATCCCAGCACCGAGGAGGCTAAGGCAGGAGGAATGCCACAAGTTCAAAACCACCTGGACTACATGAGAGTTCAAGGCCATCCTGGACTACATAGTGAGACCCTGTCTCAGAAACAATTCTTCTCAGCCCAGCATACCCAGTGTCACTTGAATAAGCAACTGAAATAGCAGAATTACTCAAGCTGTACCGCAGGCCCTCCGCAGCACTGAGCCTGTGGTCCAGAGCAGTGCACAGCTGCTCCCTCCAGTGCGGTCCTCGGAACCCGGCCACATTCAGCTCCTCCCAAGGACCCAGAACCTGTCCCTGCAGCCCCTCTTAGGTAGGCCCAGCTCTATAGAGACCTAGAAGCATCCTGTACTCCCTATTATTCCACTGAGCCTTCACAGGCACCCTGGCAACGTAGGGAGTGATTATCTGTCCTCTGGTTTGCTAGAGCTGGAGCTGAGGGCTGCTGACCCAGGAGGGTCTGTCCTTTATGTCCCCTCCCTGCAAGGACACTGCCCCTGGGCCTTGCCTGTGAAGCCCTGGATACCCTTGCTCTTAAAAAGGAGCACTTGCTGGGCTGAGGATTTAGCTCAGCGGCATAAGCGCCTGCCTTACAAGCAGGCAGTCGTGAATTCAATCCCTGGTACCGATAAAAACGAAAATGACAAAAAAATTTTTTAAAAAAGCACTTGCTCTGACTTCCTAGTTTCTGCACTCACCCCATACCGGAGTCTCACACACCTGTAGAATCCGGGGTCTTCTTGCTCCCGGAGGAAGCCAAGGCTTGGGAATGCTCTGGCATTGAAAGCCACACAGCAAGGTGAGGGGTGGCTGTGACTCTGTCATGCTTCTCCCCATTCACACTGCTTGGGGCACAGTGTTGGCTTCAGGTTCTGTGCCTCAGGTTCCCCACTTGGAAAGCAGGGTCAGTCCCTGCCCCGGAGTGGGCTTTGTCCATGGACAGGGATTCAGTGAGCCCATGCCTGGGGTGTAGCTGTCTGTCCCTGAGCACCACCTGTGGCTGTTTCCATCGTGTCTGCTCTTGTGTCCTGGAGGCCTGGGCTGTGCGAGTCTCTTGGGTCTCACATTCCACTTCAAGTAAAAATCCTTGCTGTTTTGGCAGAAGCATTAAGATTCCATTCCGGGACTGAGTACCAGGCATGGTGATACACGTCTGTAATCCTGCTGGGGATTTAGCTCAGCGGCATAAGCACCTGCCTTGCAAGCAGGTGGTCGTGAGTTCAATCCCCAGTACAGATAAAAAAAAATAAAAAATAAAAAAAATTATATATATAAAAAAAAATATGTCTGTAATCCCAGCATTTGGGAGGCAGAGGCAGGAGTGCCGTGAGTTCAAGGCCAGCCTGGGCAATGCTGCAAAATCCTACCTATAAATAAATAAACAAATAAAACTGGCTGTGTAATTCGAGTACTCAGGAGGCTAAGGCAGGACTGCAAGTTGGATCTTAGCATGCCCAACTTAGCAATTTTATGAGACTCTGTCTCAAATAAGTTAAAAAACACACAAAAAGCCCAGTAATGCCTCGGTTAATGAACATTTCTGTTTGCAAACAATTTGGTTCCCAAACAGCAGCCTTCAGCAAAATTTTATAATTCTGACATCTGTGTCTTTTTTTGTGTGTGTGTGCTGGGAATGGAACTCACAACCTCGTGCTTGCCAGGCAGGCGCTGTGCTACTAAGCTCCATCCCCAGCCTTTCAGCAAAATTTTGCTTCCGTTCACAGACTTGACTTCAGGTGACAGACATCACTGTGGCCATCTTCCCTGGAATCATGGAATGAATTATGTCTGTGGGCTGAGAAGCTACTATAAAATGCACTGAGTATGTAGCTCAGTGTGAAGGGCCTAGGTTCGAACCTCGGTGCCACAGGCACGTACAGATTGTTGTCATGAACGGTAGGCATCCTCACCTGTCACTCCGCATGGCAGGTGCTGATGGGCTAGAGCTCATGCTCCCTTTTTCTCTCTGGAGTGGTGGTGAAATACATATTTATCGTCATAATCATTTCCAAGTGTGCAGTCAGCAGTAGTACATAGAGGCACTAATTCTCAGAACTTTTTTGTATCTTGCAAAACCGAAACTGCACCTTCTAACCATTTCTCTGTTCCCCCCATCCAGCCGTGGCTGTATCATAGTTCTGCTTCCTGTCTCTAAGAATTTGGGACCTTATATACTCACATAGGCTTTGTCTTCTACTTAGCATTATGTCTTCAGATTCATCTGTGTGACAGCACATTTTCTAATTCTATCTTGGGAACAAGGTCTTGCTCTGTAATTCAGGCTGACCTTGAACTTGTAAACCAGGCTGGCCTTAGATTTGCTGTAATCTTCTGCCTCAGCCTCCCAAGTGCTGAGATGGCCGGCACAAGCTAGTATGCCTGGCTAATTCCCTTCCTTTTCAAGGCTGTGTAATACTCCACCATGCCCATCACATTACATTTATCTTCCCGTTCATCTGTGAGTGGGCTTTTGGTCGTTTCTACATATGAACGATTATGAACAACGCTTCTATGAATATATGTAAATAGCCTTTGAGTTCTTTTAATTCTTTTTGTGTATATCCTCTGAAGCGAAACTGCAGGGTTGTAGAGTAATCCTGTCTCATTTTCTGAGGAGCCTCCATATTGACTCCCATGGTTACCACACCATTTCTATTGATGGGGTGCAAGGATCCAGTCTCTGCACATCTTTGCCAATGCTTTTATTTTCTGCTTTAAAAAAAAACAGTAACCCTCTCATGGCCATGAGGCAGTATTGCTGCTGCTTGGATTGTGTTCTCCCAGCCCTTAGTGGCGCTGAGTGTGTCTCCTTGTACTTCTTGGCTTATTCATTCTTTCATGAAAGAGATTTCCTAGGCACTTACTGTGTGCCAGGTGCTGTCCTGGATGCTGGGGAGAGGCCAGGAAGACTAGACACCCCATCCCAGGGCTGTGTGTGGGGCTGCACCCTCTCCAGTCGTCCACACGGAATTCATGGACCTGTGCGTCTCAGGCCCGGCGTCTGGATGGGGCGCAGTGTAGCAGCTGAGCCTGACCGGGCCCTGGGCAAAGCGTTGAGGCTCTGACTGCATCAGATCCTCGTATGCCTTGGTGAGGTGTGTCGTGCTCTTTGATTTCACAGGCGAGGGAGCAGAAGCAGGGGCAGAGTGCAAAGCCAGGCAGCAGAGTGGGGGAAGGGGCCGGAATCAGGCCCCCCTGCAACCCTGTGCCTCCAAATCCAGGCTTCACCACCTCAGGGCACCAAGAGCCAGACTGGCCTCTGGGAGGGATCAAAGGAATATAAACCGCCCAGGAGCACTTACAAGTCTTAGCGACTCTGCGCATTACACTCATTCTTTCCGATCCACTCTTTCCCACACGTGTCTCTTGGCCTACATCACATCTCCTTTATGCCGAATCACCCATTCATCCTCTCATCCATTCATCTACTCATTCCTCAAGGCCTGGGGGGAGGGGAGGCAATGCTGGGGAGATGTGGGGGACCAGACCCCATGCCCCCCACTGCAAGGACTCCCAGCTTTCTGAAGATACAGCTCATAAACCGACCTGGTGCACATCCTCACAGGGTGCCCAGGGATGGTGGTGCCCAGGGAAGGCCACGATGCCCTGTGTGGGGCGGGCATAGTACCACGGGGGTAAGTACTACTACTGTAGAGGCGGGAGAGAGCTTGCAGAAACGAGGACACGACTTCTATTCATGCTTTTCCCTCCAGCTCTGAGTGTGCAGTAGTAAAAACAGAATCTGCTCCAGAGATGAGAGGCGAGACTGGTTCCTGGGGGTGGGACAACGGTTGGAGCAGGGGAGTCTGGGGCCGAGGAAGGGGGGACAATAGGGGTGCCGAAGCCCTCTCCTGTGCTCAGCCCCTCCTGTCGGTGCCCAGCACCCAGGTCCAGCTGCCCTGGGGCCGCTGGAGAGGAGGGGGACGCAGCACAGCCGGACACGCCCGGCCACCTGTTCACACTACAGGGGTAACGCCGTGACTATGAAGATGTTATCTTTTCCGCGTCGCGTTTTCTTTCCGTTTTCCTTTGCCCCCTAAGCAGGTGGGGAGACAACAGCCTGGAGGTGGCGCTGCCCGGACTCCAGTCCCGCCACCCAGAGGGGGCGGGGCTTTTCGCTTGAGCCCGCCCCCACTCCGAAGTCCCCACCTCCACCAGCCCCGTTCCCCCTCCAGGGTTGAAAAGAGGCGTCTGCGTGAAGATCAACCACTTCCCGGAGGACACAGACTATGACCACGACAGCGCTGAGTACCTGCTCCGTAAGTCCGGGCCAGGCCGCGGGGGGAGGGAACAGAGTTTGTGTCTCAGCCAATCCCGGCCCAGGTGCTGAGACCCTCCAGCTCCCAACTGGTTCTGTGGCGTTGCTCCCGCCCCCTCCTCGCACCTCGGGGCGGGCCCTGGCTGCTGATTGGCCGATTGACCTCTCTTTGACCTTCGCGGTAGCTCAGCACTGTGACTAGCTGTCAATACTGTGCTGGGAATGGCTACCGCGCCGAGGCTGTGGGCCAATCACTGGCGGGGACTGGCCACTTTCTGAGCCGGTTTGGGGAAGTCTGGACTGCGATTGGCAGCTACTGGGAGAACGTGGCAAAGCTTGGACTATGATTGGCTGAGTCTTCAGCCCGGCTCGGAAATCGCAAAGTCTGATGCCTGAGATTCAGGAGTGGGTGGAAAGGACTGCAGAGAGAGGGAGCGAGAAAAGAATGAAGACGGAGAGAAAGACGGGTGGGAGAGAGGGAAAGGAGAAGAGGGACGAGAGAAAAACTGAGATAAAGCCAGGCAGAAAAAAAAAGGGATGGAGAAAGAGGAAGGGCTGGGAATTTAGCTCAGTGGCATAAGCACTTGTCTGACAAGTGCAAGGTCATGAGTTCAATCCCCGATATCAAAAAAAAAAAAAAAAAGAAAAAAGAAAAAAAAAAAGAAAGAAAAAGAAAATAGAGGAGGACGAAAAGTATGAAGAGGTTTGATCGATCTGGAGAAAGGAAAAATCCTCAGAAGGAAAGGGAAGGGTAAAAAATACAGAAAACGGGAGAGCATGGGTAGGGAAGTTGGTCCCTGTAGAGTGGACCGAGAAGAAAGAGGAGCAGGAATGGAGCAATTCTGGGACAGAGCAGAGGCTGGGCCCAAACAGCTCCGGCCGGCGCGGCATTCGCGGGTCCCATCCTACTCTCCCCACTCCTCGTTCCCCTCCGCAGGCGTCGTCCGGGCCTCCAGCATCTTCCCTATCCTCAGCGCCATCCTGCTGCTGCTCGGGGGCGTGTGCGTGGCGGCCTCCCGCGTCTACAAATCCAAGAGAAACATCATCCTGGGTGCGGGCATCCTGTTCGTGGCAGCAGGTGAGGGGCAGAAGGAGGGGGCGGGGCACCCGCGCGTCCTTGTGCCTCCGAGTGCGCGCGCCCGCGTATGCCTGCAAAGTCCCCGCCCCGCCCCGCCCCAAGCGCCTCGTGGGGCTGGGAGCCTGCAGGCAAGACAGGCTACTCCTGAGTGCGAACCACCCAGCGGTGCACACAGGTGTCAGGCGCGCACCCGGAGTGAGCACGCTTGTGCGCAGGTGCCCGGAGACGCGAGAGGAGGAGCTAGGGAGGGCGTGCGGGACCCCGAGACAGTGGAGACCTCGGGTGAGGGCAATCCCACAGGGTGATGGTCCTGGGAAGCCAGCTGGAACCGCGAAAGGGCACCGGAAGGGGCTGAGCTAAAGAGGCTTGGGTGGCCCTTGTCCCATAGGAGGAGGAATGGCTAGAAAAGAAAGGAGAACAGAGGTTACCCCGCTCAGGGCTCACAGTGCTGACCTGGCCGCTCCCGAGAATCAACCGCGGCCAGACCTGGAGAAGGAGTCCAGGACAGCGGAGCCGGGCTGGAGGGCGCTGGAGGGCGGAAGGGGAAGAGCCCAGGCTTGCCACCTTCTGGGCGCTGCAAGGGTCAGACCCCCTTCGGTGCTGGGCTCTGGGCTGTGTGTAGGGAGACAGAGAAGGGGATGCTTGCGCAGTGGGGAGTGGTCTAGGGCGCCAGGCCTGCACTCAGGGGTGGGGTTTGGCAAGTTGGAGGCCAGAAATCCTACTCTAACGCCCGGCAAATGTCAGACCCGCGGGGAAGGCCCTGGAGTAGAAATCCCCTGTAGGGATTTGGGAAGGGAGCGTTAAGGTCAGGAGCAAAAAGGATGGTAGAGTCTGTGAGATTCCATCATTGAGTCCAAAGGAGTAGAGTGGGGCAAACGCAAGTTTCTCAGACCAACCGAGGCAAGGCTTGGAAACCTGGGCTGGCACTAGCTCATCAAGGATAGATTCGATCTTACTTTATTAATTTATTTGTTTTGCAGTGCTGGGGACTGAACTCAAGGCCTCATCCGTGCTAGGCATGACCCCAGCCCTTGGCGTTTTTACTTTGGGACAGGATCCCCTTAGGTCGCCCAGCTTGGCCTTGCCCGTGCCATTCTCCTCAGCAGCCTCCAGAGAGTAGCTGCGATCTGTAGCCACTTCCTGCAGAGGACCAGTCAGAGCCAGAGCTGGCCCTAGACCTGTGGGCACAGAGGTTAAACCAGCTGGGGCAGGCTTTCTAGTAGACTGTTGAGTCGCTCTGGTTTGTGACCATGTAGGGCAGGGTTGGTCAGTGCATGTAGGTCAGAGCCTAGGTCACTTAGTGGTGGAATTTTGGACCCCAGGAGGTGACCCTAGGCCACCAGGGCAAGTTGAGACGGGTTGGGCGATCGGCCATCGGGAGGCCAGAAAGGGGTGGGGCGTAGGCCATTTGGGTGGGTCGGGAGGAGACGAGGCCTGAGCCACAATGGAAGGAGCTTACATCATTTAGGTGGGACCTAGGCCGGTAAAGGGTTGGGCCTATACTATATGAGGCCTGACCTGACCAGGAAGGGGCGGGGCCTAGGCCTCCGGGGCGGGCCCTGGGTGGAGCGGGGCTGGGCGGGGTGGCCTCGAGGCTCCCTCTGATCGTCCCTGCCCAGGCCTCAGCAACATCATCGGCGTGATTGTGTATATCTCGGCCAACGCGGGTGAGCCGGGCCCGAAGCGCGACGACGAGAAGAAGAACCACTACTCGTACGGCTGGTCCTTCTACTTCGGCGGACTGTCCTTCATCCTGGCCGAGGTCATCGGCGTGCTGGCCGTCAACATCTACATCGAGCGCAGCCGCGAGGCGCACTGTCAGTCTCGCTCGGACCTGCTCAAGGCCGGCGGGGGCGCGGGCGGCAGTGGCGGGAGCGGCCCCTCGGCCATCCTCCGTCTGCCCAGTTACCGCTTCCGCTACCGCCGCCGCTCCCGCTCCAGCTCCCGATCCAGCGAGCCGTCGCCATCCCGGGACGCATCTCCCGGCGGCCCAGGTGGCCCAGGCTTCGCCTCTACGGACATCTCCATGTACACGCTCAGCCGCGACCCGTCCAAGGGCAGCATGGCCGCGGGGCTGGCGGGGGCCGGCGCCGGCGCGGGAGGCGCGTTCGGCAGCGGCGGCGGCACGGGGGGCGCGGGCGGCGCGGGGGCCGCGGGCGGCGATCGGGACCGCGGGGGGACGCCCGGCTTCCTCACGCTGCACAACGCCTTCCCCAAGGAGGCGGGCAGCGGCGTCACCGTCACGGTCACCGGGCCGCCCGCTGCGCCCGCTCCCGCTCCTCCCGCGCCACCCGCCGCGCCCGCGCCCGGGACCCTAGCCAAGGAGGCCGCGGCCTCCAACACCAACACGCTCAACAGGAAAACCACGCCCGTGTAGGGCGTGTGCGGCGGGGCGCGTGCGCGGGCGCGCGTGCAACGGAGCCGCCGTGCCGAGGCGCGCCCCTCCTTCCCCGCGCACGCCCCGTGCGCTCTGCAGACTGCGTGGCCTTCGCCCCGCGCGCGCCCCTAGCCTGGGGTGCGGGGGGGCCGTCCTTCCCTCTCCCCTTGGAAGCAGGGAGCCAGGGGAGCGGAAGGAGTGTGGGCTCTGGCGAGCGACGTGTTTTATTTTTTTGGTGGGATTCGGGCGAGGGAGGGGGGAGGGCCGTGGCGTTTTTTGCAGTTTTGAGTTTTTTTTTAATGTTTTGCTGTGTGCATGTAGGGGCGGGGAGGGAGGGACTCCAGCCCAGCCCGACTCCTGCAGAGGGGCCATTACACCGAACCTAGAATCACTCCTCCAACTATCCACACGCCCTCCACCCCGAGACACAGCTCGCGGTGGGGGCGCAAGGGGGCGGGGCCCGGCATCCGTGCGCATGCGTTCTCGTCTCTACAAGGGCTTCTTCGGCACCTGCTGTCAGTCAGGTGCTGGTTCTGAGAAGGCGCTGGCACGCGCAGGGGTTCATTCATTCACAGGGGCTGCTCCTTCGTGCGCTTCACTGCTAGGCGTAGTGCAGAACGCAGGGCACCTGGAGGGAGGAAAGAGGATCTCTAACATGCCCGTAGAGTTTACATCACGTGCATAGCTAGACATTAATCAGAGACCTGGACGCACACGCACAGTAAGTCAGGCTGGCGGAGAAATCGGAGCTGCTTCACTGTGGCGGCGGGGGGAGGGGAGTTAGGGATGGTCATGTCCAAATGGAAGAACTGTTTGAGCAGACAGGAGCCAGTTAGGGAGTGTTGGGCAGAGGTAGGTGTTCCCGTAGAGAGCAGCATGTGTCAAGGCCCTGGGGCAGGAAGGAGCTTCCAGGATGTTGGTGTGGCTGAGGGAAGAGGCTGGAGACAGGCAGGGGCTTGTAGGGTGGGAACGGCTTGGAGAAGGGGTAGAGCAGGAAGGCACAGAGTGAAGATGGGAGCCCAGTGCCAGGCCCAGCCCTGGGAACTCCCTCACACAGAAGTGCAGCACGAGGACCAGATGCAGCTGTGGCATCTAGTGGGGGCGGGGAGTCGGGGAGACCAAGGGATCCATGCTCCACTCATTCGTTCGATCACTCACTGACATCCACGGGAATCTGCTCAGGTGTCAGGTGCTGGGTCGAGTCGGTAAGCCCTGAGGTCCACCCACCCTGGCAGTGCTGCCCAGGAGCTTAGCATCCTTCAGTTGGCAGCACAGCAGGGGCAGTTGATGTGACAGCCACAGCGAGCACCGAGGAGCATAAGACAGGGCCCACTTCCTGGAGGACGTGGCATCCAGTCTGGATGTCAAGAGGAGGAGCAGGCCCTGCCTGGGGGTGGGTGTTGAGGAAGGTCACATCTGAGGGTCACTCTGATGGCAGAGGGCTGTGCTCCTGCCTGAGGCTCCCACAAACCATCCTAGGGCTCCCCATTCTCTGAGGAAGACAGATCCAGGGGCAAGGCCAGCCATGGTGCAGGCTGCCAGGCAGGGGCAGCTGGGTGGGTGAGGAGGACCTGGGGCCAGTGCAGGAGGAAGGGATCAGGGAGTTAGAGTCAGAGAGAGCTGTGTGAGAGATGCTGGCGAGCTGAGGGGTCCTGGGGGCCAGGCGGAAAGGTTAGGACGGGAAGAAGGCGGCATGCTGGGATGGTGAGAGTCCCAGAAATGGGCAAAAGACAAAGCCACAGCAGGGTAGCCAGTGAGGGAGAAAAGGAGCAGGAGAGACCCTGACAAAAAGATGCTCACATCAGAGGGCAGACATTGCAGAGATGAAACAAAATAAATCCCACGCCAGAGTGCAGAGATGAAGTGCAGAGACAGAGATAAGCCACAGGGGCCAGGGATGTAGCTTAGAGGCACAGTGCCTGCCTGGCAAGTGTGAGGACCTGGGTTCAATTCCTTGCACGGGGGGGTGAGGGGGGGTATGCTGCAGAAAGGAGAAATAAACTACCAAGAAAGGTTCAGAGATGCAAGTGAAGAGACTTCAAAGCGAGCATGGCACAGGAAGGGCTCCTGTCTGGTCCTTACTCTCAGCATCCCAGACATACTGACAGCCACTGATCCCTGGCTTCTGGGACCCCAGGGAGGGAGACACATAGCAGTAACTGTTTCAGTGACCAACATGAAGAGGGGCTGCAGTGGGTGAGCTGCTCCCGAAGGTCAGGACAGAGGTGAGTGCAGGGTGGGTGGGTGGATAAGGAGAGGGGGCACAGGTGTCCTGGCTGTGAAAGATGGCTGAGAAAACTGGAAGAGGAACAGGCCCTGGTGGAGCCCTGGAAGGCCTGAGTCAGGGCTGGGCCAGCCCACAGTTCCGGGAAGAAATCTGAGTTCTGCAGAGTGGTGGAAAAGCCCTGAATGGTTCTCAGCACAGCCTTGGCAGGGTCCTTTATTTACATAAATAAAACCATAGCATACTCACACTGCCAGACTAGGGGCAGATCTCTGGAATCAAACCAGGAGCTTCGGGCCTGGACACCCAGAGGTTAGCGTTACGGTGGCAGAGAGCTGGACACATTGGGGGCAGCAGAGATGCCAAGGTAGGGAAGAGAGAGGAGCCCGAGATGGGCTCAGTGGGTACTGCTGTGTCCCGCCAGGAGGGAGAAGTGGGACCTCCAGGTGGAGGAGCAAAAGCAAAGAATTCTCTTCTGGACACGGTAAGTGGGAGATGCCTGTGGGACGCCCGAGACCGGATATGGGGTGGCAGTGGCGTACTCGGTGGACCAGGGCAATGGTGAGGTTGTGGCTGCAAGTGTGAGTTTTGCAAGCATCAGAAACATCAGCATTAAAGGAAGGAAAGATCAGCATTTAAAGCACAGAACAGGACAAAGTGACCTAGGAAGTGGACAAAGAAGTCACTCGGGCTGCAGCTTTGGGGACATCTGCATCAGGGGAGCAGAGGACAGAGCAGAGGGAACCAAGCAGGGGTGACCGGTTAGTAGGCAGCGTGTGGGAGAGCCTGGGAGGTGAAGGTGGAGGGAGAGGTGGAAGTGTGGTGCCCAGTGGGACGTGGCCCTCGGAGGCGGTATTGGCTGAGGGCCGTGCCAATGCAGAGCAAGGGGGAGGGGGAAAGGTGGGGATAGAGAGAGGAGCCAGATAGTTACAAAAGTGACACCAGAGAAGAAGGGCAAAGTGTGGCAGGAGCTGCCGACGGGAAACTCCACCCTGACCTTGGCCAGCTGCCACGGCAGGGAAGAGGACCTGGTCTCCAGGCTGCTGCCGCTGACTGAGAAGGCCCAGGACGGGGATGACACGGGTGCCAAGCCTCATAACACGAGAGTACGAGAGTGTGCCCCACCCTGTCCTGTGCTTGGGGGACACAGCACACAGAGGAGTGGGACACACAGAGGGGGGACCTGTGGAGTGCACAGGCAGCCAGAAATGCAGCCGGTGTCTTCCCGGGCTTGGGGAATGTGTGTGTCTTTGCTTCACCACCTTCACTCTCTCACTTGTTCATGTCTCTCCTGCACATTAATAATACTGCCTGTGTACCCGGCCTCAGGCTGGGTCACACCCAGCCACCAAGATGACTTCCTCCTGACCCTGGGCCCTGCTCTGATCCAAGGGGGTGTCAGCCAGGCGCAGAAGCAGTCACATCTGGGGACACACATGCTGGCAGGCACAGGTGCAGCGGGCACAGGGGATGCAGTATCCGGGGCAGGTGGCTACTGGCCCACCTGGAGCAGGCATGGCAGAGAAGTGGGCGAGGGGAGGTCCTGTCTGGCCGAGCTCAGGGCTGGGCATGGGGGAGGTTCGGGCCCACTGCCAAGTCACACGGCTGTCCCATTCCTGCCCCCTGAGGGAGCTGAGGCTGCATGGATGGTCCCTGAGGGGTGCTCCATCTAATAAACTCGATGAAGAGGATGCTGAGCTGGTTCTTGAGTCTCCCTAAACCCGTGAACCTCCTAAGGCCTGGCCTTCCTACCTCCTGGGGCCTGAGGGCCCAGCATGCAGTCTGTCCTTCCGCCTTTCAGAGCCAGGACCCGGGATCCAGTGTGCTTCTCTCCTGGAGTCAAGAGTCAGGGTCCCAGATCATAGATCTGGCCTCCTCCCTCAGACCCAGGGGTCCAGGCCTGGCATCTTCCATCAGACCTGGGCAATCGGAACCTGGTCTCTTGAGCATCCCGGGACGCACAGGCCCATAGCTCACTTCTCCCCAGCTGTCCAGCACTCCAGCCCCCACCTACCCCTATAGTAACCCAGGGCTATCCTGCCCTGGCTCTGCCACCTCGGGCATTCTGGAGTCTGGACCTTGGACCCGAACTTGGCCCTCCTGGCCCCAACAGTCCTGCCTCAGGCCCCCTCGAGACCCTCTCCAGCCCCTCCTCCAGCAGGCCTTACCCCATCGGTGTCTGTCCCCTTAAAATACCCAGGGTCCCTATGGCAACAGGCACCAGCGACAGGTGCGGTGTTATTTACGGGTTGTGCCCAAAATAGCTGTCGGGGGTGGCGGGGCGAGCCCCGTCCCTGTGCAGCCCGAGGTCCAGGCTGCGGAGCTGGGGACGCCGAGGAGGAGCTCCAGGGCCAGGGCTGCAGACACTCGTGGGAGGCCTGGAGTGCAGCGTGGAGCCGGTGCGGCTGGGCAGCCTGGGAGCTTGGGGAGGGGGCAGCGCGGTCCCCGGGGGACCCTAGTAATCCTGGGCACGTGGGGCACTTTGCCTGGAGGTCATAGTGCAGGCAGCAGCCCTAGTGGGGACCCCGGGCTTCCCCCTGCCCGTGGGAGAAAGCCAGTCACCCCTTCAAAAGCCCCCAGCGGCGGCAGCCTCTGGATGGTAGAACCCCAGCCCTCACCTCAGCTGCTGCCCCCTGATCCCCAGCCTTGCTGTGCTGGTCTGCTGCAGGCCTCTCCTGGGCACCCCAGTCTTCTCCTTCTGCGCACCCCTGGAGCGCCGAGTCCTGCATCCTCAGATCTTGAGCCCGGAGGTGCCCAGGCCAGATCTCTAAACGCTTGGAGACCTCAGCCCTTCGCCCTAGGTGGTCGGCCTTGAGGACCTGCTTTCCCTCTGGGGCTCCTGCGGGAACCCTAACCCTAACCCCAACCCCAACCCCAGGAGCACATCTGAACCTCCCTGGCTTCCTGGCCTGGGGGTCTATAGTTCGGTCCCTTCCAAGCCCAAGGGTGACCTCGACTGCCCCTGCCCAAGTTCCCTTGGAGTCTCTCACCATCCAGCGTGCACAGAGCCCCCTTCCAGTCCCCGCCCCCCAGGACCCCTGCACGCCTGAGCCCCGTCCTCGCCGGGATGATGATGTGGTCCAACTTCTTCATGCAAGAGGAGGACCGGCGGCGGGCAGCCCGGGGCCGGAGGCAGAAACGTGGCCTGAGCCCTGAGCGCGAAGGCAAGACCAAGCTGGCGCTGCTGCTGGCTGTCATGGGTGCCACGCTGTCGGTGCTGGCGGTGGGCACCGAGTTCTGGGTGGAGCTCAACACCTACAAGGCCAACGGCAGCGCCGTCTGCGAGGCTGCGCACCTGGGGCTGTGGAAGGTTTGCACCAAGCGGCTGTGGCAGGCGGATGTGCCTGCCGACAGGGATACCTGCGGCCCTGCTGAGCTGCCTGGAGGTGAGAGCCGCCCCACCCGGGGCTGCGTCCTGCAGGGGTGGGGGGTGACGAGGAAACTGCCCCAAAGACATCTGAGCCCCAAGGGGTGCCCTGCCCAGGTGAGCACTGCATCCAGCTTAGAGCCTGTGCCCACGATCCAGCTGTGCCTGCACCCACAGAGAGTGATCACCCTGGGGACAGCCTATACACCTCCCCAACACCCACCTCCCTGAAGAATCTATGTGGCTTTTCAGTGGCAGGGAGCGGGGGCAGGAGGGCCTGCAGTTTCCTGTGTGCCCACCTCAGAGTCAGGACTAGGCTCTTCTGGGGCTCAACTCACACCAGTGGAGCTCTCTGTACCCCATGGGGCTTGATGGCAGCACACTGTGCCTCTGTGACCCCAGGAACACATGGGAAACCCCTCAGAGCCCCTCAGGGATATCTACCTGTGCTCCTGGTAACACTTCCCAGCCTTGGGGCCTCTCCCCCTACCCCTCAGGTCTCCAGTTTTACAGCCCTGGGGTCCAAAGTGGGGTGACCCTGGTGCATGACCGCAAAGTGGGGTGCAGGACGCAGGCCCTCTGCACTTGTGTGAGCTCTGTGTCCAGCCAGACCTGCTATCTTTGACTCTTTGCTTCTGTCTGTCCTGTCTCGGGGCCCCAGGCAGAGTGACCCCAAGTTTTGGCATGGCAAGATTCTCTGATAATAAAGACATGAGATGCTTAGGTAGAAGCCAGATGTGTTCCAAGTACTCTGTGGTGTGTAATCACTGGGGGTTGTCAGAGCAGCCCTGTGAGGTGTTGCCCCACCCCCACCGCACCCTGTTCTGCAGAAGTGTGGGGAGCGAGAAACCCCAGGGGCTCAGTCTGTCGCCCCAGGCTAGTTACAGGGTGCTGCAGTCCTGGGCGTGGCTGCTCTTCCCACGATAATGTGCACTTTAATCATCTGGAAAAGGGTTCCAAAGGTGCTTGCTGTGTGCATGGAGACTCTGCCTCCTGCCCCACTGCAGACAAGGGGGCCCCTTGCATCCCAGCTGTCCCTGTGACTGGCCAGAAAGGACACCATCCTGTAACCCCACCTGCAGGGCGCACTTGCCCAAAGGTTATCTCAGAAACCGCCCCGCTTCCAAATCAAGCCGCTCCAGATTCCCTTAGCTGTGGGGCTGACTCACACCAGCTCCCCAAATGGGCCCTGAGACTCAAGGCCCCTCATCACCAGTAACCAGAGCCCAGTAACCAGAGTGGGACACCCAGTGTGTCACACTGTCCTGGAGTGGTGGCCCACGGCATGAGGACCGTGTCTCCCAGCAGCTGCTATGCAGAGACTGGCACACTTTTGCCCTTCTCTGGTCTGTGGGGCACCTGGGCTCCTGCACCCTGCGTTCCTCTGCCTCAGTCTCCCACTCTGTGTACTGCGAGAGTGAATTCAGGTGAATTCTGAGACAAGTTCTGGCTCAAAAATGCAGGTTAGAAAGTTGCCCCTTGAGAAGTAGAAGGCAGCTTGAATGTAATGCACACAAAACTGAATGCATTGCACTCCTACATTTATATCACAGAGAGCGTTTTTGTTTGTCCTTTTGAGACAGCGCTTGCCTTGGTCTCATTGTTAACCCAGGCTGGCCTCCAACTTATTGTGCTCCTCCTGCCTCAGACTCCCCAGTGCTGAGATCAAAGGGGTGTACCCTGCACCCTGCTCCTGACCGCACTCTTTCCTGCGTCTGACACACATGTATAGTCCTAGTTATGCGTCTGTAAGTGGCTCATCTTTGAATTTGCATATGTGATATGAATGCTCTAGTCTCTCCTGTTTTTTATTTTTAATCTATCTCTTGCCCAGCTCTGCCCTCCAGGCCCCACTGTCCTGCTGTGTGATTTCCTTTATGTTCGCAGTGATTTACCCCGAGGCACCATGCTTTATCTGTCTAGTCCTGGACAGGTGGACACCTGGATGGGTTCCTACTGCCTTGTTATTTCTTTGCTTGCTTGCTTGTTTGTTTGTCTTCTGAGACAGGGTCTCACTATGTAGTTCAGCCTGGCCTTGAGCTTGAAGCAATCTTCCTGCCTCAGCTTCCTGGTGGCTTTTGGGGGATGCACACTGTGGATCCCCCATGAGGTACCATCATGAGTCCCTCAGTGAAGGGATAGGACCTGAGAGACGCATCCTTGGGGGACCTCACCCTAGTGCACACATCATGGGGTACCGACAGCGAGATGGCTAGAAGGTCGCTCGGTGCCTGGCCCCATGAGAGCTTGGTCATATGTGATACCCGGCCCTGACACAGCCCTCACTGCTCAGTGTGCAGCGCGGTTCATTCATAAAGTGCAGTCCTCTCCACAGGGCCCAGTGCCAGCCCCCTCCAGCTGCCGCTTCTGATCTGCCGCTGCCCTTGATCTCGCCCTTTTCATATTTGCTGTCCAGCTCCGTGCGCCTGGCCCTGCCTGCCGGCCCCCGCCTACTGCCTGAGCTCTCTGAGTCCTGCCAGAGTGGACGGAGCCTGTCCTGCCCTCACTGTCTGGCTGGGCGCCTCTGCCCCCTGCTAATCTGTGGGGGCCCTTTGTGCACTGGCCGAGGCGGGATGAGGTGGCCTCACCTCAGTGTCTTTGCTGACTAAAGCGATGATCCCTTTCTAATCCCACTTGACTCTGGGCAGGCCCATGCTGTGGAGCCAGGCGAGAGATTAGCACCTCATTTAAAAGACAGGAAGTGAGGGACCCAGGGAGCTTGATGGCTCCGACCTCAACCTCGGAGCCCTGGTTCCGCCACGTGCCGTGGCAGGTGGCACATGTGGCTCTGGATGCTGTGTCCCTCCGCTGTCACCTGGTGAGCTGCTAGGTATCCCGTTCTGAGTGAATGGGGGTGCCCTTGGTCACCATCCCTTTTGTCTCCTCCCTGACAGAAGCCAACTGTACCTACTTTAAATTCTTTACCACGGGGGAGAACGCACGCATCTTCCAGAGAACCACGAAGAAGGGTGAGCACTTTGCGCCCACACCCACTGGGGAGGGCGCTGTGTGACTGGGGGTGGCCAGCCCTCTCTGTGGACACCCGTGATATCTCTCAGAAGGGCACCTGGCAGGTGCTGAGCACAGCTGGGACCGTGAGCCTGAAGCTGAGGGGCTTTGTGTTCATTTCCCAGAGGAGAAGGAAACTGGGAAAGGCTTGGGGTATTTTTCCCGAGCCGTGGCAGAGGCAGGAATCATACCGCAGCCTGACTCCCGAGGGATCCTCTCCCTACCGCCAGAATCACCTGGGTGAAGGAAGCTGGCCTCTGCCTCTGTCAGCCATGGCTGGCTCCTGAGCACAGGATGTGGTTGGGAGATGAGTTTTAAGTTTTATTGAATTTAAATAAATTTTTAATTAATTCATATTTTGAGACAGGCTCTTCCTAGGTAATGCAGGCTGGCCACTGAACTAGTAGAAATCCTCCTGCCTCAGCCTACTGAGTGCTAGGATTACAGGCATGCACTACCGCACCCGGATAAATTTAAAATGTAAAGGCTACGTTTAAAGGACAGGGCAGGGGGCCAGGGATATAGCTCAGTGGTGTGACTTCCTGCCTGGCAAGTATAAGGTCCTGAGTTCGATTCCCTGCACCAAAAAATAAAAAATTAAATGAAGAAGGTGGCTTCTCTGCTTGCTGCGTGCCTGGGGGGCCCAGCAGAGGACTCTCAGCTGCTCTGTGGAGAGGCTCCATGGAGGACACTGCTGATACAGGCCACACGCAGCGGGTCGCCCACACCTCTCCTCTGTGCTGGGGGTGCTGGGTGGGCACTGAGTCTGGGGCGATGAGACCCCCAGGGTATGCACTGCACTACCCGCGTGAGCGCAGCCCTGCATTGTGCACCCTACGTCCTCATAAGGGTCCAGAGGGTGCAGGCCCGTGCCCTGCTCCTCCAGAGGAGATTGGGACTTGGGACCTCTCCAAGTCCCACTCGGATCATTCTGCCATTGCTCCCAGCTGTCGCCCCTGCTGCCTCACCGCCTCACCTTGCATCCACTGGGGCTGTCTCCCCTTTCCCTCCAATCCTGGCTCTGTCCTCTCCCTGCCTGTGACTTGGGCAACTAACGGACCCCATCTGACTCTTGGTCCCTTCAACAGTGAGACTTGGACCATGAGTTGGTCAGCTTTCCGGCACTGCAACCAAGCACCTGAGGGAAACGGCTAGAGGAGGAAAGGTTGGCTCAGGCCCACAGTTTGTGGGCCTCAGTCCACAGCTCTGGCTGTGCTGCCTGTGGATACGTGGTGGGGCAGAGCAACTCCCCTCATGGTGAAGGGGTAGAATGGGGTGGGGAAGAAGAGGAAGGAGAGACAGAGAGACAGAAACAGAGAGGATATGAGGATGGAGAAATGTTCTTTGTTCCTTTGGATCTGCTGCCCATTATTGCTGCCCCCTGCTCAGGCTGGGTCTCCTTCTGTTTCGGGCCCAAACAGGAACACCCAGAAGTGTGCCTTTCTCATTTCCCAGGCACTTAACCCAGACAGGTGAATGGCCTGACCGCCCACTGGAAAGTCCCAAATCTTCCGTCTCCCAGCTCTGGGTTCCTGCTGAAGTGCCCTCTCCACCGTCCTCACTCTGTGTTCTCTGCTTCTTCCTTTTCCCTCCTCGCAGAGGTGAACCTGGCAGCTGCGGTGATAGCAGTGCTGGGCCTGGCGGTCATGGCTTTGGGCTGCCTCTGTATCATCATGGTGCTCAGTAAAGGTGCAGAGTTTCTGCTCCGAGTGGGAGCTGTCTGCTTTGGCCTCTCAGGTGAGAGTTGAGAACCTGGAGACTGAACATGTTGCATGCTGGGAGTTGATATCTCCAAGGACTGTTGTGAGATGAAATCTCTCTATATATACTGTTGCATGCTGGGAGGTGGGTTCTCTGTACACCACTGCATACTGGGAGGTGGTTTCTCCAAACTGCATGCTGGGAGATGGGATGTCTACAAACTGTTGCATGATGGGTGGTGAGCTCTTAAGCACAGCTGCATGCTAGAAGTTGGAGAGAAGTCCAAAGATTATAGTAAGCTCAAAGATGAGAGAATTCCATGCCCTGCTATTAGCTGAGGATTGAAGGGTCTCCAAATGCTGTTCTAGATTTGGACCTGGGGTCTCCAAGGATTATTGCATGATAGGGAGTGGAATCTGTAAGCACCGTTGCATATCAGGAGCTGGAAAGAGCTCAAGAATTATAGAAACCCTGTTTTGGGCTGCAAATTGGATGCTCTCCACACACTCTTTTGGACTGGATCTGGAGTCCCTACACTGCTGTACACTTGGAGGTGGGGGAGCCTGCAGCTGGGTAAGAATCAGAGCCTCTCCAAATATTCCATGCAGTCTGAACTTGGCGTCTGCTGGGGCTGTTGCAAGCTTAGAGTTGAAGGTCCACATAGCCTCACGGAGCCTCCAGTTTACCGTGCAGCCCCCGCTCACCATTCTGGGAGGTCTAGGGGGTCTGGGGGCCCTCGCTGCATTTAGTAGACAGACAAGTCAGGTGAATTTCTCGAAGTCACTACCAGTGACGGCAGCAGCGGGACTCAAAGCCAGGTCTCCCCTGTCCTGACTTCTTTCCACTGCAGTGACCACTGCAGTGTTCTTGTGGGGTCCTCCTAGGCCCAGAGCACCATACGCAGGACGGTTGTTTAGCTGGAACCAAGTGTTGAGGTTGTGCCCCAAGCTAGGCTCTGGATCACATGTGAACTTGGGAGATTTCTCCTTCTTTCTGGGCCTTATTTTCTTTGTTGGGTTAAATGCTTTCTAAGATAAAAGGGAAAATAATTCATTATACAGGCTTTCCCTCCTGATACTTTGTGTACCTATGGGTACCTCTGCAGTCCAGGCCACATCAAGGCTGGAGACTGAATAAGACAGGTGCTGTGCCGCCGTCGAAAAGCCTCCACCCCAGCAGACAGAGACTAATAATTACCAAGCACAAGAGGAAGCAGGTCAACTGCAGCTGTGATGACAGCCACGGTGCAGCACATTCGGGTGTGCGCTGCTGGTGCATGCTGGAAAGCTTTCCCAGGAAAGTGACATTTATCCGGGTGAGGTAGTGCACAGCCGTAATCTCAGCACTTGGAGGCAGGAGGACCACTGCAAGTTTGAGGCCAGCTACAAAGTGAGTCCCCTGAACTGCCTGTCTCAAGAAAGACAAAACAAAACAAAACAAAATACCAAAAAACAAAAATAGAAAATGACATTTAAGTTCATAATTGAGGACTCATAGGAATTGCTCAAATATGATGGTGACAGTTGTGGCAACAGGTGGTGATACTGGTGATGGTGATGATGGTGGTGATGATGGTGATGATGGTGATGATGGTGGTGATAGTGGTGATGATGGTGGTGATGATGGTGGTGATGGTGATGATGGTAATGGTGGTGATGGTGGTGATGATGGTGATGGTGATGATGGTGATGTTGGTGATGATGGTGGTGGTGGTGATGGTGGTGATGATGGTGGTGGTGATGATGATGGTGGTGGTGAGATGTTTCCCATTTTCACGGAGGACGCTGCAGCTTGGTCAGAACTGGGTGCTGGTGCTAGGGTGCTAGGAGAAGGTCTGTGAGTTATGCCAGCAAACACAAGGGCGGACTGAACGGTGTGATCACTGCCATTACGTTGAGGTTGGGGCAGATTGGACTCTGGAGGTTTTGTAGGTGGATGTGTCCAGGTGATGTGTTTCCTCTCAGATGCATTCATAGGTGCTGTCAATTTCTGTTTGGGTGCCTGGCCCCAGGTTTTTGAGGCAGGGTCCCACTATGTAGTTCAGGCTGGCCTTTGACCTCTCTTTGTAGCTCAGATCAGCCTGGAACTCCCGGAGATCCCCCTGCCTCAACCTCCTGAAGCTTTTGGGCAGGTCCAAGATGGAAACCAGGGACTTCTGCATGCTTATGGGGGCTTCTCCTGCCCCAGTGGGTGTCTGACTGGTGTCCAGTGGGCTCTGACTCCTCCTCAAGGATGCAGTGGCCCCAGGGTCCCCTGAGCTGGTCTTGGGGTATCAGGTTCGGCAGCACCACCCATCCAAAGCAGGGTGTCTTTCCTGACTCGCCATCAGAAGCTACTTCCCTCAAGGTGCCACAGGCAGGGTTGGCTCTCCCCCAGGCTATGGACAGCTGTGTCCTTGCTTGTGCCCAGACTTCCTGCTGTGACAAGGAGGCCAGGGCTGCTGGGCTCCAGCCAGCCTCCCACTGTCTTCTCTTTGACTTAATCATCCCCTGGGGATCTCAGCTCCATCTGTGGCCGCACCCTGAGGCCCGGAGTACTTTCTGCAGGGGACACAGCTCACTCAGGATGGTGTCCTGCTGCACAGCACAGGACCCTGAGGGCAGAGGTCATGCCGATCTGCTCAGGCATCCTGTGTGTGTCTTCATCTGAGACCTCAGCAGGTGGCTGTGGGAGCCTGAGCTGGCCAGCAGTTTCACAGGAAACCGAGCCCTGTGGGGCAGAGATGGTCTCTCAGAGGGGCTGCTGAACAACGCACTCAAGCTACTGGCTGGGTGTGCTCTCCAGGACCCTGTTGAAAAGTGATGAAGGAAGAACCGGTAGGGTGGCCAGCACTAGGAGGCTGAGGCAGGAGGATCGCTGTGAGTTGGAGGCCAACCTGGACCACATAAAGAGTTCGAGGCCAAGCTGAATTCCGCAGTGAGCCCTTGTCTCAAAGACAAAAACGAAATGACCGCTGAAACAATTCTGATTCCTCTTGAGAATCAAAAGGTCTGGCCAGTGAGATGTCTGTTTCTGGGGGTCTGCAGGGTGCTGAGCCTCAGTTTTGTTTTGTTGTTTCTGAGACAGGGTCTTGCTTTGTAGCTGAGGCTGCTCTTGAACTTGCATAGATCTTCCTGCCTCAGCCTCCTGGTGCTGGGGTCACAGGTGTGTAGCACCACGCTCCATTTAAAGTCACATTTTACTTGCTCTCTGTCACCCTGGCTGTCACACTTACCTGCTTTGTGCATTTGTGCGTTCTCATTTGCCCTGGGGTGGTTGGAATTTTGTGATCCTTAGTTGATCTTTTGGCCCCTCTGAGGCCTCAGTGCCAAACAGGAGCCACAGGAGGGGAGTGCTCTGTCCTGTGCCTTCTTCCTGTTTTTCTGTCCTTTTAGGGTGTGTGTTTGCTACTGCTCAAGGCCACCTTCCTTTTGGAGAATTGAATATCAACCATTCCTCGATCATATTTGATCTGTTTCCGCCATCTGTTTTTCTCTTCCTACTTCTTAAGTCAAACTACATCAACCTGGGCTTGATCTTTCTTCTCTTTCGCGGTCACTGTTACTGTCTCACCTTCGTGGAGTCTGAATTTGAATTCTGCCTTTATTTATTTATCTGTTCTTTTTGAGCCAGGGTTTCACAATGCACTTCAGGCTGGCTTTGAACTCACTTTGTAGCCCAGACTGGTCTCCAACTCAACATGATCCTCCTGCCTCAGCCTCCCGAGTCCTGGGATGATAGGCGGGAATTTTGCATTTTTTTTATTCCCATGTATTTTTCTAGGATATGTGCGCTGAAGTGAGCGCACCTGTATTCCCCCACCCCAGGGAGACACGCTCACCCTATCACCTCCATCCTCACCACTCCCAGGTGTGCGTGGAGGGACATCCCCTAGTCCATTCCCACCTGAAACTCTGCCCCTAGCACCTGCCCCCTCCCGCAGCCTCCCTTGGTGGTAACCTCATCTCTGTGAATCTGTGTCTCGCTCCTTGTTTATCTCCAACTTGCAAACAATGCTGGCTCTGCTATAGGTGTTTAGGAAACACAGTGGACCTCACTGTCCATGAGCACCAGCCCAGGCCAGATTCCAGCCCTGAGCCCTGCACAGGACCCCGTGGTACTGGGTGGAACCTGCACTGATGGGACGTGGGCTCTGTGCACTGCAAATGCCACACGCACAGCTATTTAGGGATAGTCACCAGCTGGGCCTGTGGCTCGGGGTGAGCCCTGGGGGTCAGAAGGCCAGGCAGGGTGACTTAGCAAGACCTGTGGCTTGAAATAGAACTTTTCACAAAGGACTGGGATACAGCTCAGCACAAAGGCCCTGGGAAAGAAGGAGAGAAAGGAAGGAAGATGGAAGGGGAAGAAGGAGGGAACCCAAAAGAAAGAGAAAAGCGCTGAGTGGGTGTGTTGTCTGGGTTCCTCATCCCTGGGACATGAGGCCTGGCATCCACAGTATAAAGATCGAACTGAGTGTGGCCCTGAGTGCCACCAGGTGCATGGCAGGAACCCAGAGAGAGCAGTTCAAGCCTTGGAGGTCAGAAGTGGGGGATGCGGATGGGTCCAGGCCACACCTGCAACCAGCAGGTCCCATAGACCCCTCTTCTGAGCCCCAGGCCCACTGCCAATTCCGGCACTTGTCTGCCTACCATGGCGCCTTGCCTCTGAGCACACCGAGCTTTGGGGAACACCAGGGAAGCCATGACAAAGACCTAGGACTGGGAGCAGCTTTTGCATCTTTTGTTTCAGATGCTGCCAGCCCCCAGAGGGCTGTGTGCATGAGTGGTGGGCACCTGAGCATGTATGACACAGGCCTGAGACCCTGTCCTCTCTCCTGCAGGCCTGCTGCTCCTGCTGAGTGTGGAGGTGTTCCGGCATTCCGTGCGAGCCCTGCTTGGGACCGGGGACAGTCCTGAGCGAGGCCCGGGCCCACCCGTGGCCTGTGAGTTCTCCTGGTCCCTCGGCTGTGGAGTGGCCGCCGGCCTTATCCTGCTGCTGGGGGGCGGCTGCTTCCTGCTGCTCAGCCTACCCTCCCAGCCCTGGGGGTCGCTCTGCCCCAAGCGGGCGCATACGGCCGCCTAGGGCCCCATGGCCACCGTGCCTCCTGGAGAAACTGAGTCCTCTCTACCCAGCCACGTGCTATGGCTGAATTCGGGGTGTCTGACGCGGGGTGCCCATGCAGGTTCTCTAGGAAGCTGGCAGGGACCTGACAGAGACCAGGATGCTCTGAGGCCTCAGGGGGAGTTGGGGGTTTTACCATCCGGGTCTAGATTGATTTGCTTTTGGGGGACGCATGCCCAGGACTGTCTGCGGCTCGGCTCAGGGTGGGCTGGGGAGGCAGGGGAGAATGTTCGGACCTGAGGTGACTGGTGGGGGATTAAAGATCTGGAAACCGAGTCACCGCATTGCCGTGGAGTCTGTGATGCTGCCGTTGCCAGCCGGGCTCAGTGCACAAAGCAGGGCCAGGCACCAGCATGGGAACCGGGATGATACGGAGCAAGGAGCCCAGGGGTCACTCCTAGTGGAGCTGTGCCCACCCTCGGGCTTGGGTAGGGGACCGTGTCTGGAGATTGGGTCTCCACAAAGAGGTAGCCAGTTAGAACCAGGTTAGAGGGTGGCCCTGGTACAGCAAGAAGTGAAGATGGGGACCTGCAGACCCAGTGGAGGCTCCCAGCCCAGAGAGACCCAAGCTGTCCCAGCCACAGAGCCGAGCCATGAGAAGATGAGGACAACAAGATGTCCTGTGGTCCTGGCTGCCCCTAGTGGCCCAAGCCAGGGAGACACTGCTGGAACAGATCCCCAGAAGCCTGGAGGCAGCTTTGGAATGGGCATTGGGGGGGGGGCAGGGCGGGGCTTGGGGTTCTTGAGTGAGAAGTCCAGGTGCCAGTGGGGAGTTTGAGGGGGTTGTGGGTGTCAAAGGCCACTGTGCGGGGCTGGAATGAACTCGGGGAGCACGTGGCTGCCTGGAATAGGGCTCTGATGGCCCTGTTCCTTAGGAAGAGTGACATGCCGCCCTTCTCGGGGGATGTCGGACCCCTGGGCCTGTGCTATGGGAGTGTTCAGCCCACTGCGCAGGGCTGCTCCGCTGCCATGAGTGGGCTCCTTGGGGCGCCAGATATGGCTGAGTTCCTTCCTCAGAGAACACAGCTGCAGGGTGCAGGTGGGGCTCCCAGCAGCCTCACATCAGAGCTCAAATGTTACCTAAACCCTAACCAGGCAACAAAGCTATCACGCTGTCTACTGCTAAACTGCCCAGGCTGAGCTCAAGCTTGGGACCCTCCTGCCTCAGCCTCTCCATGCATGCTGCCTTCAGGCATGTGCCACCACATCCAGGTTGAGAACCTGTTCCCCTTGCCCCGCAGCATTCCTGTATTTAATCATAAGCACAACTACAGGTCCTCCTGGGTCCATGACAGGGTTCCATCAGGGTAAGCTCACTGCAGGGTAAGAATACAGAGTCAACGTGCATTTAACACAGCTGTCCTGGTGAACATCACTAGCCTCAGGCTTAGCAATGGGACATATGGTAGAGTCCCCAGCCATCCATCCCCTCATGGCCAGCGACCCAGGACAGACAGGGAACTCACATCACTAGACAGGGTTGCACCACGGGCAGCTGGCGTTATGGGGTCTGAACTCAGGGTGCAGAGCGAGGTCTTCTGCTGGACACCACAGAGCCAAACTGTGGACTGTGGTCAGCCCAGCACCGTCCGTGTCCACCAAAAGATAAGTTATAGTCGCCTGGAGTCACATGGGGACATCATGCTCAGGTCGCAGGAACCATACAGCAGGGATAGAATAAACCGCCCAGGGTTGACATCAGGATCCCCACAGGAAGCTGCCCTGCTGCCTGGGAGGGGCCACAGCCACTCCACCTGGCTGTGTGCTGGAGGGACAGACTGGTGTCTGCCCTGTACTGTGCTCCTAGCATGGCAACAAATTGCACAATACCCCTGGCTCCCCCATCTCTGCATCCTTCAGGGTGGCCCCTGGGCCCAATGCAGCATTTATTTCCCAGGGTCCCCACAAGGAATCCATGGGATAATAACCCCTGCGAAGCTTCGAGAAGACTGCTGTTCCTGGGTCGGCCATGATGGTTTATGCAGTCATTACAACTCGTCAGGGGGCACCATGGGCCTGGCCTAGGGTTAAGGTGGGAGAGCTATGGGCTGGTGCAGGGGCAGATACTAACCTATCACTGATGGTGTGGGGTTATAAACGGAGATAAGTGCTAGGGAGAGAGATATTGGCAACTTGACCCTCTCCCACTTGGTGTCCAGCCTGCTCTGGGAACCCTGGGGACGGGCATGGAGGTCCAGAGGGGGCCCTGCCCAGTGGGGTCTTCACTCTGCACCCGTGAGAGGGACAGGCCTGAGAGGCTAGGGAGGAAAGGGGCCAGGAGCTCCTGCCACCCGCCCTGCCTGACCGCAGCCTCCAGCCCAAGCCTGCTTTGCACGGTTGTGACTTAACTTTAGGCCCGAGAGGATAGGCTGATATGCAGGACAGGTTGATTTTGGCTCCAGGTCCGCTGGCCCCACTGTGAAATCATCACTAGAGGGGCTGTCATGTGTCACAGAGAAGCCCATACCATGGCTGCGCCCTGTGATTTCACGCTGGGGTCTGCAGACTCAGAACTCACAGGGCTGAGGACTGTGCACCCTATCCCCTCTGGGAGAGCCCCAGAGGACTGTGCACCCCGTCATCCCCTCTGAGAGAGCCCCAGAGCGCTGAGTCATGCATTCCTGTCTCAAAAATATGGAACAAAACAAAGCGAACATCAGCTTAACCCTGTGGGGGACAGCAGGACCCTAGGGGCTCTCCAGCTCACTTCTTGGGGGCTGAACAAGGTCAGAGCATGGCCCTGGCTTCCGGTACCCCATCATAGGGAACCCCCCATCCAAGCCTTGGGAGAGGAGCTTTCTGCCTCAGCCTAGGTGGGAAGGGGGCCGGGGCGGGGTTGCAGCTCTTGGGCCTTGTTCTGCTCCCACCAGATTGAGCCTTGCTCAGGGGACACAGAGGCTGGCCAACACCTTGAGGCTGGACAGGGTAGCAATTCCAAAACCAGGGTGAAGAGGGCGGAAAGGGTGTGTGGTTCTGAGGGCCTGTTCAAAACCGCTGTCCTCAAAGACAGCCTCAGCACACGTCTGGGGGGGGGGCAGGGAATGGTGATGAGGCCTTGGGCAGGCAATGCCACACTGCTGGGGGTCTTGCCCCTCCATGGCCATCCATCTGAGACAGGGTTTCATGTACTGCCCAGGCTGACCTTTTACTCATGATGTTCCTTCTGCCCCAGCCTCCGGAGTGCTGGGGGTAGAGGCGTGTGCCATTGTGCCCGGCCCTGGAAACTCTTTACAAGGGGAACACAGAGCTCAGCAAGGCTCCTCTTCACCAGGCAGGTCAAGATGTGGATGGGAAAGAGAGCCACGCCAAGAAGACAACAGCTTGCCATGCTGGGGCTGACCTGGCAGTGGGGACCCAGGGAGGAGCAAGCCCCGCGCTCCACCCAGCTCACTGCCTGTCTGTAGGGGTGGGAGATGCCGTCTATTTCGGCCCTGTTCCCAGGGTCACGGCTGACACTCCTATGACAAAAGTCAAGGAAATAAGACAGAAACTCAGCAGGTTTATTTCATTAAACTAGCTGTGGTGGCGCATGCCTGTCATCCCAGCACTCAGGAGGCTGAGGCAGGAAGAACGTGTCGAGTTCAAAACCAGCCTGGGCTACAAAGTGAGCTCAAGCCCCGCCTGAACTGCACAGTGGGATTCTGTCTCAAAAAGACAAAACAAACAAATGAATGAACAAAAGAACACCCCAAGAACAAAACAAGTTTGTGTCATTCAAGTTTTCTGTAACATGGAGTCTGCAGCATTGTGGGCCCAGGGACCCAGGGAAAGCGGCCCTTTCTCTGCTTCAAATCAAGGCAGGGTGGCCGAGCGCGGAGATGCAGCTGGGTGGAAGAGTGGTGAGGGAGTCACGACCTGGAGAGCCCTATGTACGCGTTCCTTTAGGAATCAGAGCGTCCCTTTCCCCCATTGATTGACGGACGGAGCCATCCCAGAAGGAATAGACCATAGCCAGCCTGGCGCCACCTGGAATTTCTTTATGCTTGGGGGGGGGGAGCAGGAGCCAGAGCGATGACACCAAGCTCTGTGACAGTTTTGGGGAAGAGACACTGTGGCTGGGAGCAGGCAGGGACCAGGAATTCGGCCTCTGTGTCCTTCCTCTGGTGCACGGCCTGGCCAGGGTCGTTCGGGTCACAGCTCATCAACCACTTTTATTGATTTATATTTCTTTATTTTGTACTGGGGATTGAACCCCAGTCCCACGGCCTTCATGTTGAACCCCATCACCAGCCCTTATTTATTTATTTTAATGTTTAAAAACTCAAGACAGGGTCTCACTAAGTTGCGCCCAGCCTGGGATTCTCCTGCCTCAGCCTCCTAGACTCGCTGGAATTGCAAGGGTCCACCTCTGCTCCCAGTGATGAGGTTGGAGGAGCTTTAGATTTTGCTTTTGTGTTAGTTCACAAGTGCAGTCTTCCCTCCAGCTCAGGGGGCGTGGTGGGGTTAGGGGTTGCTCCCCCAGGCCTCAGGCAGCACCTCGAGGGAGGAAGACAGAGTCCGGCTCTGAGGCCTTAGGCGCAGAGCAGGGCAGAGAGGTGGCGGTGCCCTGGCAGCCCTGTGGCAGCAGCGCCACCTGTAGGCGGGCACAGAGTGGTCGGGGAGCCCGCAGCCCTGTGTCCTGACATGACCGCAGCCAACGCCTTGGCCGCCAGGGAGCTGGGCCCAGTGGGAAGCAGAAAACAGCTGACCATTCGTTTGCCCCTCAGCTGCAGGCGCCCTGCCAGACTCTGCTCAGAGGCTGAGATGACTCCAGTGTATTTATTTTCTTGCATCTGGCTCAAAAAAAAATAAACCAACAAGGGACTGGGGATTTAGCTCAGCGGGATAAGCACCTGCCTTGCAAGCAGGTGGTCGTGAGTTCCATCCCCGGTACCGATAAAAATAAATAAATAAAATACAATAAACCAACACAGCCATCTTCCTGTCCACACTGAAGCCCAGAGACTCCTCAGGCCTGGTGCTGAGCCCACTCTCCAGAGTGGGGAAGACTCCCAGGGTTCCCTTCTCAGAGGCAGCTCTGGGGCTGGCCAAAGATTGAGAATGAGGTCCACCATCCTTAGGGGGGATGTTTGTTTGAGACAGGGCCTTGATATGTAGCCCAGCTGGCCTCAAACTTGTGGTGATCCTCTTGCCTCAGTCTCCTGAGTGCTGGGATGATGGGTGAGCACCCCCAGACCTGGCCTCCAGGGGAGTGTTTATGTAGGCTCAAGAACGGTGTAGGTGAGCTGGGGATTTCGCTCAGTGGTACAACGCCTGCCTGGCAAGCATGAGGTCT